CCCCCCCCCCCCCACCCCCCATACATTTTGGAGTGTTGATCTGAGATTATTCTGTATGCTGGTGATTAGGGTGAGGATGTTGTTGATCACATGTGATAGGCTGCATATGGAGCAACCAGTCACAGGCATCCAGAGCAAGAAAGTCTTTGTATTTGAAAGGGGGAGGGAGGGCGATATTGTTGCTGGGAGGATTGTATAGCGATTGGCATATTTTGGGATGGAGAGCCTGTTGCTCTCCCAACAGCACCATTTCAAAGATGAAAGAGTTGTCTCCATTGTCCTGTCTGAGACATTAGTAAAATGGGTGATCACAAACTCTGCTTTTTATGTGGGATTTGCTGAGAATACTTGGCTGCCACTGCTCCAACAGTGACTGAGGTCTGAAAGTTGTGAATGTTGCTGTTTAAATGCAAGCCTTTTTCGAACTTTCTGTAGTCAGTGTAGTTCTGCACAGAGATGTAATAACCAGAATGTTTTCATTTCACATTCACAGGAAAGACCTGTCACTGCAATGCTGTCTCAACCCTTGGGAATGCGAATTAATGTGGTGAATGACCGGAGCCCCGACCAGGTGAGCACCCACGAGCATTACGATGCTACAGAAACACTGGAAAGAGAGAGCCATTGACTACCTGTCACCACTCATTCACATAAAACTCGAAAGTTGAAATTCATCAAGCTGCACATATCTAAACGGTAGCTCCTTAAAACCGGAGCGGCAGGGGATTGAGATAATATTTTCAGTTGCTCTGCAGATGCAGCAGTGTTTAACACAATTCCTGGGTCACGGCCACCCGCGACTGCAGGGTCACAGTCCCACGTAGTCGCTGGGTCACAGTTTCCTGGTTTATTGCAAAAGCAGTTTCCCCAGGTGCCTTCTGTAAATGGTCAGTTTTTTCAGTGTGATCCTTGACGGTGTAAGGTGACAAGCTACATAATTCCGATGGTGTCTAAGTTGGTGATTGTTCCCAGCAGTGTCAACGGAAGCTTCAACCTTATCTGTAGGGTTTCAGGTCATGGGTAGTGAGCTGTTGTTCTAACCAATTTCATATCACAGGCATCGTGGTATTTCACTGACAGGGAGGCAGGTTACCACTGTGAGTCTACACACCCAGTAAAGTGACACTGCCTCCTATCTAGACTGTGATGTCAGCCTGGTTATAGTTTTATTTTCATTCTTTCACATGTATCCCTTGATGGATTTGGAGAGGGTAAACAGATTTTTTCCCACTGACTTGTGAACCAGTAATGCAGAACAGAGACTGGAGATCATCAGTGGAATGAGAAGGCAGTGGGGGGTGACCAGTCTGCACAGAATGTGCAAAGCCTTACCAGAGGGGGAAGGGCAGGGCATGGAGTTGGAATAACCTGTTCCAGGTGAGTACCAGTACAGTATGATAGTCTGAATCATTGCCAAAGAAATAATCATATCAGCCTAACATACTTGAATTGTGACTGACTCTTGTAAAGCTATCTGATAGTGGGCTGAGATCAGCCCCATCCTAGACAGGCCAATGAAGCAGGGTTGGCTTTGGTCTCAGTTTTGTATTTTGTCTCAGGGTCTTGAGGATGAGGATATGGAAGACGAAGAGGAGGATTTCCTGCATTCGATACCTGTGACAAACAAACCCACAAAAATCAGCGCTGTGACGAATGACCTTACTCAGAAGAGGGTAAGAGACAATCTTTAGTTCCTAGTCAGAGAACCGAATACATTCAGAGATGTTGTGAAGTCCCTGTGTGATGATATTGTGTGGATATTGGTTCAGCACTGGGAGCTGTCTATTTTTGGAACATGTGAATTAATAGGGGCATTCCAAAAATCACAGTGTTTTGATACAGCTAACACAGGCTTGATGGTCTGAATAGTACACTCCAGTTCTGCGTTATTCTGTGATTAAGGAGATACTGTTTCCAGTAGCAGGAAGATGTGTAACTAGAAGATAAAGATTTAAGGTCATTCATAAAACAATTTTTTTTACCCAGTGAGTTTTTCTCGTCTGGAAAGAGCAGTGGAAACAGATTCAGGAATAAGAAAATTGGAGAAATGCTTGAATGGCAGAAATTTGCAGGGAAATGGGAAAAGATGTTGGTTAGATGTTTCAACCATCAGTCAGGCACATAGAAACTAGGAGCAGGAGTAGGCCATTTGGCCCTTTGACCCTGCACCACCAATCATTATGATCATGGCTGATCATCTAACTCAAGATCTGTTCCTGCTTTCCCCCCATATCCTTTGACCCCTTTAGCCCCAGTACTATATCTAACTCCTCCTTGAAATCATACAATGTTTTGGCCTCAACCACTTTCTGTGGTAGCAAATTTCATAGGGTCATCATTCTACTGGGTGAAGAAATTTCTCCTCATGTTAGTCCTAGAAGGTTTACCCCGTATCCTTAGATTGTGACCTCTGGTTCTAGACTCCACTGCCTTTAGGAATGTCTTTCTATGTCTACCCTGCATATCCTGTTAGAATTTTGGAGGTTTCTATGAGATTCCAGCAAACATAATCCTAACTAATTCAACCTCTCCTCATATGACGTTCCTGCCATTCCCAGGAATCAGTCTGAGAAACCTTCACTGTACTCCGTCCGGTGCAAGAACATCCTTCCTTAGATAAGAAGACCAAAACTGTACAGAATACTCCAGGTCTCACCAAAGTTGCATATAATTACGTCAAGACATCCCTGCTGCTGTACTCAAATTTTCTCGCTATGAAGGCCAAAATACCATTTACTTTCTTCAGTGCCTGCTGCACTTGCATCCTTACCGTCAGCAACTGGTGTACCAGGACACTCAGGTCACATTGAACATTCCCCTTTTTCAATTTATTGCCATTCAAGTAATAAATTGCCTTCATGTTTTTTGCTACCTCTCATTTATCCACATTGTACTCCATCTGCCATATGGTTGCACATTCAGCCTGTCCAAATCACAATGAAGTATCTCTGTATCTTCCTCTCAGTTCAGTCCCCCACCCAAATTTATGTCATCTGAAAATTTGGAGATATTAATTTGAATAGAGACCTGGTTAGCGGACAGTAAGCAAAAAGCAAGAATAAACAGGTCCTTTTTCCAAATATCAGGCAGTGACTAGTGAAGTACCACAGGGATCATTAGCTTTTTTCAGTTGTTTCAACGGCGGGAGTCCGGGAGAAAGTGCGAGGGCAGCCTGGGAAGGTAAGCTTCCACCCAATAAATTTGGGAGTTGACTAATACCCGAGACACTACACGCGTAGCGTCTCCCGCCCTTCCACCTCCTCTAACCTAATAGTAACGACTAAGTGTGGTGTGCAGGTAAGTTATTTGCATTTTTTTTTTCCTCATCTCTTTGTTATCTTTCGGGTGGTCACCTAGACACCAAATCCTCTGGGAGCGGGTCGGAAGGCAAAGCCAGAGTCTGTTTGAGTATATAATGGAGTAAACTTACTGGTGCAAAGAACACTGCGAAACTAAAAAAAAACTAATTAATTTTAAATAATTAACTAAGTAGAGATGGCAGGACAGGTGATGTGTTGTAGCTGTATGATGTGGGAGCTAGCTGATCCCATTGAGAACGGCAGTGACCACATCTGCAGCAAGTGTTGGCTGCTTGAGGAGCTCTGGCTCAAAATTGATGAGCTGGAATCCGAACTCCAAACACTGTGGCACATCTGGGAGGGGGAGAAATACCTGGATGCTGTGTTCCAGGAGGCAGTCACACCTGGTATATTAACTAATGTTAAGTCGATCGGCGGGCAGGGACAGCAGTTTGTGACTGCGAGTGAGGCAGGTAGAGGGACCCTGCAGACAGGAACACAGGAGCTACAGCCCTTGACATTGTCCCACAGGTATGAGGCACTTGCTCCTTGCATGGATGAGGAACAGGGCTGCAGGAAGGATGAGTCAACTGACCATGGCACCATGGTCCAGGAGGCCATTCAAGAGGGGGGAGCAAAAAGACAGATTGTAGTTGGAGGGGATTCCATCATCAGGGGGATAGACAGTATCCTTTGTGAGCAGGATAGGGAATCCCGCATGGTGTGTTGCCTGCCCGGTGCTGGGGTGTGAGACATCTCTGACCAGCTTGAGAGGATACTAGAGAGGGAGGGGGAGGATCCAGTTGTTGTGGTCCACGTAGGTACCAACAACATAGGCAGGACTAGGAAAAAAGACCTGTTTCGGGATTATGAAAAGCTAGGAACAAAGTTTAAAAAACAGGTCTTCAAGGGTCATAATCTCTGGATTGCTGCCCGAGCCACGTGCAAATTGGCATAGGGAGGCAAGGATCGGGGAAGTAAACATGTGGCTAAAAGAGTGGTGTGGGAAAGAGGGTTTCCTTTTCATGGGGCACTGGCATCAGTTCTGGGACAGGAGGGATCTATACCGCTGGGATGGACTCTACCTGAACAGGGCTGGGTCCAGTGTTCTGGTGGAAAGGGTAAATAGGATGGTTAATAGGACTTTAAACTAGTAAGTAGGGGGGAAGGGAGAAGTGAGCGTAGAGGGAGAATAACAATTAATGTAAGGCAAAGCAGCAGGTTAGCAGGTGAAGAGGAAGCTTCAACTCCATTGAAAATTAGTAAAAAAGTTAAAGGGAAGGAGCGCTCAAGAGCTGTCAGCAATGGAGGTAATAGGACCCAAAAAGAAGGTGCAAAAACTGGCATAAGGGCACTTTATCTGAATGCTCGGAGCATTCGAAACAAGGTGGATGAGTTGACGGTGCAAATCATGGCAAATTGATATGATTTAGTGGCCGTTACAGGATGGTCATGGCTAGGAGTTAAATATCCAGGGGTATCAAACTGTTCGGAAGGACAGACAGGAAGGTAAGGGAGGTGTTGTTGCTCTGATTTTTAAGGATGATGTCAGGGCGGTAGTGAGAGATAATATAGGTTCTACTGAACAAAACGTTGAATCCATTCGGGTGGAAATTAGGAATAGCAGGGAGAAGAAGTCACTGATAGGTGTGGTCTATAGGCCACTAAATAATGACATCGTGGTGGGGAGGGCAATAAACATAGAAATAGCTAATGCATGTAAAAATGGTACAGCAGTTATCATGGGGGATTTTAATCTACATATCGATTGGTCAAACCCAGTCGGTCATGGCAGCCTTGAGGAGGGGCTCATAGAATGCATCCGCGATAATTTCCTTGAACAATATGTAATGGAACCTACGAGGGAGCAAGCTATCCTAGATCTAGTCCTGTGAAATGAGACAGGAATAATTAATGATCTCACAGTTAGGGATCCTCTCAGAAGGAGCAATCACAGTATGGTCGAATTTAAAATACAGATGGGGCGTGAGAAGGTTAAATCCAGTACCTATGTCCTGTGCTTAAACAAAGGAGACCCTATGAAGGAATGAGGGAAGAGTTAGCTAAGGTAGAATGGGAGCAAAAACTTTATGGTGGGTCAATTGAGGAACAGTGGAGGACTTTCAAAACGATTTTTCACAGTGCTCAGCAGAAGTATATTCCAGTGATAAGGAAGAACTGTTGGAAAAGAGAGAGCCAGCCATGGATGTCTAAGGAAATAAAGGAAAGTATCAGATTGAAAAAAAACACATACAAAAAAGCAAAGTTTAGTGGGAAACTAGCAGACTGGGAAATCCTTAAAGGCCAACAGAAAGCCACAAAAAAAGTTATAAAGAAAAGTAAGATAGATTATGAGAGTAAACTAGCTCAGAATATGAAAACAGGCAGCAAAAGTTTCTATAAATATGTAAATCGTAAAAGAGTGGCGCAGGTAAACATTGGTCCTTTAGAGGATGAGAAGGCCAATTTAATAACTGGGAATGAGGAAGTAGCCGAGACATTAAACAGTCATTTTGTATCGGTCTTCACAGTGGAAGACACAAATAACATGCCGAAAACTAATGGCAAGACGGTTATAGCAGGTGAGGACCTAGAAACTATCATTATCACTAAGGAGACAGTGCTAGGCAAGCTAATGGGGGCTAAAGGTAGACAAGTCTCCTGGTCCTGATGAAGTGCATCCCAGGGTACTAAAAGAGGTGATGGGGGAAATAGCAAATGCACTAGTAATTATTTACCAAAATTCACTGGACTCTGGGGTGGCTCCCGCAGATTGGAAAACAGCCAATGTGACGCCACTGTTTAAAAAAGGAAGTAGACAAAAAACAGGTAACTATAGGCCAGTCAGCTTAACTTCGGTAGTGGGGAAAATGCTTGAATCTATCATTAAGGAAGAAGTAGCAAGACATCTTGATATAAATTGTCCCATTGGGAACACCCAGCATGGGTTCGTGAAGGGTAGGTCATGTTTAACTAATTTGGTGGAATTCTTTGAGGACATTACTTCCATGGTGGACAATGGGGAACCTGTGGATGTGGTGTATCTGGATTTCCAGAAGGCATTTGACAAGGTGCCACACCAAAGGCTGCTACATAAGATAATGTTGCACGGTATTACAGGTAATGTATTGGTATGGATAGAGGATTGGTTGACCAGTAGAAAGCAAAGAGTAGGGATAAATGGGTGTTTTTCTGGTTGGCGGTCAGTGGCTAGTGGTGTGCCACAGGAATCAGTGTTGGGACCGCAATTGTTTACAACTTACATAGATGATTTGGAGTTGGGGACTAAGTGTGGTGTGTCCTTGAAAGTCTGCAGAGGGATATAGATAGTCTAAGTGAGTGGGCAAAGGTCTGGCAGATGGAGTACAATGTTGATAAGGGTGAGGTCATCC